GCTGCCCTCCCTACCACCTACCTCCCTCCCTTCCAGCACCATCGACCGCCATCGCTGCTTTTGGCAAGGTGGGCGAGTGGCCCAGGTGTTCGAAAGAGGTATCAGGTGGAGGGCCTGGTTTTGTAAGAGCCTTGCCAAGTAACTGCAGAAAAATTACCAGACCATGTAAGCATCCCTGTGGCTCAACATTACAGTTTAAATAATGGACTTGGTTCTTCACTCAAAGGGAATTCCTTATCGTATTTGCTCAGAAACGTATGGGAAGGGTGATGCTAGTAGTAGGAGTTATTCTCTTGGGTTTTAAAAATTCATTCATACTGTACACTATTTCACCAAATGGCAGTATCATTCACCAAACGACAGGTTGTTTCTCAGGTGCATTGAAACCTGTTTAATGCGTTCCAATGGGGAAGAATCGTCGTCTAGCAAAGATTGGCCATAGGAAAGCCGCTTTGCGAACCGCCGATCAGCTGTTTAAATCGCTGTCTTGCGAAGCTTAGGTCCTGAAAACACCTGTTTTGTGATCGCAAATGGAGCTGTCAAAATCGTCGTCTAGTGAAAATCGGTTTGCGAGGCAGGGACCAAACATTGTCCAGCGGAATTCCCCCATAAGAATCACTATTTTGTGAATCGCTATAGCGATCGCAAAAAGCCAATGTCTAGCGAAAAAACTGTCATGTGGGGTAGCTGTCTAGCGAGGCACCACTGTATTCTCTTGGGTTTTTAAAATTCATTCATACACTCTCACCAAATGGCAGTTTCATTCACCAAACGACAGTTTGTTTCTCAGTCTCAGTGATCAGCACAATCCCAACCCCTAAATGCCAAACTAGAAATCAGTGGTATTTTTGGGGGGAAATTTGGTACCAGCCACTACAAGGGAGGGGGAATGTGGGAAATCCTATGGATTTGGAAGAGGCTGGTTCACTTTTCTTCCCCTGTGATCAAGTGATGCAAAGGGAAATGAGAATCAATCCAGAGTCCCCTCTCCCCAAATCCATAATTTTCTCTCCCCCAATGGGGCGTCTCTTTTTTTACTTTGAGTCAATTCACATCCATTCATCAAGCTGCTAGGAACTTTGAGCAAAGCTTTTTTTAAAAAACAAATAGCTAAGTAGGGTGTTTATTTTAGGGGAAAGGACAGTGTAAAAAAGGTTTTTTTTTTCACCTGTATCGTTTTCAGTCCAGGTTATCCATTGTTCTTCACAGCAAGACTCTGCAGGAGAAAAGGCCAGACAAGGAGGGTGGGTATGTGAGAATTATAGTGGGGGGGATGAGGAAGCATTTCCCATAACTATCATAATTATCCGAATTAAAATAAAATGTTAGAAACAGTGAGACCAGATCTTTCTTTCCTGTAAGGCAAATTTTCTGCCAATTCTCCCTGTCAAATCAAGACACTTCTCTGACATGCAAAGCCTTAAACCTAATCTATGCATAGAGTCTGATGGTGTTTACTCGCCAGCAAAGCTTAAAGGCTGCAGGTCTACAGCTTGACTTTTTAACAGCTGTCTTAGCTGATCAGATGAGGAAATGACAGGGGAAAAGCTTTCTTATTCTCTTTGCAACTTGTTAAGGAAACTCCTTTGAACTGTGACACTTAAATCGAACATACCCAGATTCTCCTGTCTGACTTCCCTGTGACTCCCCACCTCACCCCCAGCGTAAGCACTAAGAAGATCATTGGCAACCTAGTAGATTCCTCTTTTGCTTCCTTATTGTGTGTTTTTTCTCCATTGTTATTTTTAAACTGTTGGGAAATAACTATGGACTAAATTTGTGGGACAGAATATTTGCATGTGAAGATGAGTTGAATTTACTCAGATTTCAGTTGCTTACCCAGCTTTGAATTTTGGTTTGATTTATGAGATGAGAGAAACAAAAATAGAATGTATAAAACTTTTCTAGCTGCTGCTTTTATTAGTACAGTACTTCTTGTTCAGCAGAAAGACAGTCAAAGGTTCCTTCTTGGGAACATGATTGGATGTGGGGAGAGAAATGAGGCAAAACCCAACTTTTTAACAGGATAATTATTCCTGTTGTAGGTGGATTCTTATGGTAAATGCCTGAACAATCGGGAGTTTCCCAGTATGAGGCTGAGAGACACTTCTACAGCAACTACAGAGGATTCTGAATTTATGACATTTATTTCTAAGTACAAGTTTCATCTAGCGATGGAGAATGCCATATGCCACGATTACATGACAGAGAAACTTTGGCGGCCGATGCATGTCGGAGCGGTTCCAATCTATCGTGGTTCACCATCAGTACGAGACTGGATGCCTAATGACCATTCCATCATTCTCATTGATGATTTTGAAAGCCCCAAAGAACTAGCTGAATATATTGATTTCTTGGACAGGAATCCTGATGAGTACTTGAAATATCTAGAGTACAAGAATCCAGGTGGCTTTACAAACCAGTTCTTGATAGATAACATGGAGAGACGTGAATGGGGCGTGAATGATATGACACTGCCTAATTATTTGAATGGATTTGAGTGTTTTGTCTGTGACAGGGAGAATGCCAGAATCAATGCGGAGAAGGACCATAAGAGGACTCACGGGAAACTGCCCGCTCCAGAACCTCATATAGCCCAGTTCACACACATGGGGTGTCCCCCGCCTGCACCTGGATATGGAAACATTGAAGATATTCCTGCAGGAGACAGGTACTAATTCTTGTAAGCAATTTTAATAACTGCATATATTACTAAGCTGTTACGATTTTCTGAATGCTTTATGAAAATTCTTATATAAATCATTTTGTGGTATCTTTAACATTCTGAAGCCAAGACTAGCACAACTACAGTGTGTAATGCAAGCCCTGGAAAAAAATTCATTTGATTTTTCTTATGGTTATGTTTTGCCGGTCCTGATATAGTTATATGTGGTGCATGAATGAATACATTGTGAATGAGGTTATTGTACAGTTTATTCTTGTTCATCTTTTTTTAAAAAAACCTTCAGGAATCCTACAGTTTTTCAGCTATCTAGAAAAAGAGATGGAATAGCCGTAGTGTAATGGCTGTGAATATGAATCATGACCTGGAAATCTAATTCAGATCTCATCTCTGAAGAAACTGGAGGAGGGGGGGAAATCCAAGGGTGTTGTAAATGGCTGATTTTATTTTCAGAATATTTTCTGTGGTTTGAGTCTGCTGCTGTTTTCAAGTTTACTTCCCTTTTTAAAATTCTTTTCAGAGAGATCAGCTATTTTCCTTACTTTCCATCACTCTTGGAGCAGGTTTTATTTGTGAATTAGATTTCAGACAAGCAATGAACTCACTGGCAAGCCACTCTCTGTGTCCAACAATCTGTAATATTATTTGGTGAGGATTACCGAAGTACATCTGTTAGTCTATATGATGTTAGAAAACTCTTTGTTGCTTTTGCAGAAACAAACCAGTTGTGAATGCTCTCAGTCCCATCCCTGGTGGTGCCATAACTCCATTGCAGCAGGTTGTGAGTAGATGACCAAAACCAGCCTTTATTTCCCCCGGTGGACAGACAGGAGAGAATCAGAGATTCCGAGTCATTCTGTGAGCTTCCTAGTGGATTGAGTTTCCTGTACTTAATTCTCCAAGTAGTGTCCTTTCCAGAGGGGCCTCTGTTAACATCACAGGGGTCCCTGAAATTTCGGGGCAGAGCCCTTGTAATGACAGCCGATAGAAGTGCACAGTGGGTACCGGACTCCACTCCTTTGCCCTCCTGGAGCCTTCTCTGCCTCTTGTGCTGACATTTTCAAAGCCATCACTGCAGCTGGGTCAGAATAGGCACTGCTGCCCCTGTTGGCCAACAAGGGTGCCGGGATCATGGTGGCAGTGCTGAGGGCTCTGGCAGTCCTGGCACAGGGCCTCTCAGCTATAGTGCTTGCTGAATTGGTGGGATGTGGAGACCTATGCCTGGGGTTCCTCCTGCAACCTGCCTTCCACCTCTCCCAAGGAGCAGAAGTGGCGGTCCCAATCCTCAACAGCGTCCCCCCAGGTTTCCTCCTCCAGGGTTGTTACATCCTCCTCCAACCCTCTTGAGGAAGCCCCTGAGTACTCCTGTTCCTTCCCCTTTATTCTGGCCACTGCCCGCTCCCTCTGCAGGTCCCTCATCAGTTGGCTTCTCTATGGGCAGTTGTCATCCCTCTCTCCCACCCACCAGGGGAACAAGGAGCCAAAGACTAAGCTCAAAGACAGAGCAGCAGGATGAAAACACACAGCCCTCCCACCACACTGGTGGCAACCCCCTTGTGCTAATACAGCTGTTCCCTGCCTTGAAGTTTTAGCACATTTAAAGAGAGTTGCATGCGTGACCACAAGAACAAAATAAGAAACTAATACCAATATCCTGGTAATATACAGTGATCAGATGACTTAATATACATACACTGTATGCACCTATATGTTTTTTGAAAACATGTAAGTGTATATTGTACACATAACATTTTTGTGCGTGAATGTTGTATATTTATGGACATTGGAAAAAAGAGCTGGGATCCACGTTTCCATTAATCTTTACGCACCCTGGTATTTATCTTTAAAATGAAAATGCAATTACTTAGAGCAGTTTTAATATTTCCCTGTGAAGATGTTTCTTTTATAACTGTTGGTTGTTATAGATTTAACTGCTATATACTTGTTAAAGCCAATGTTACAATACTGTTTTATTCTATTAGGATTGCTCAAGCCAAATGTAAGCAATTTTGAAAACTGCACTTTGTGTTTCTCCCAAAATATTTAAGCTAATTTGAGTAGGTGGGGGAAGGGAACAAATGAGAGTGGATCTTCTGTCTTTGAACTTTGGTTCACAAGGGCTTGAGCAGATAGATGCCTGACCTGTCAGGAAGAGAAAGTTGCTTGACTTTTGTTTATCCTCCAGATTCATAGGCCAAAAATGGCACAATGAAGGGCAAGCACACTTCAGAATTAATTTCAGAGTTTTGCAAGAAGTGCTGTTGAACCCTTATGGTTTCCTGTCACCTTCCTTATACAGAAACCTAACAGTTGTCTGGCCGTGCATTGCTTATGACATGAAATGTTGCCCTTTAGGAAAACGGTTTGGGATTTTCACAGTTTACTTCTGATGGGTTTCTATTACTTCACCAAAATATCTGCAGGCACTGCAGACTCATTAATTAAAACTATTGGGATGTTGTCAAACTAATTGTTCGGCTTCCAGGACTAAGCAATTTACAATCTCTGTAGAAAAGATTACATCTTACATCAGCAGTATTTTTAGCACCACAACCTACTCATGTACGTGCTGAGTACAAAACCAAATCCCTAGCTATAAAACCCACAGAGACATTCTGAAGTTGTAACATTGTATGCAATGTGTTGTAATATCTGTTTATCTTACAAAGTGTTTTTCCTTAGCTGTCAGATTCCTGCCAAGTCATATGCTTACAACTCTTGCTTACCTTATTCTTTTCTAGCTGTCAGATTCCTGCCAAGTCATATGCACTGAGCACAACTCTTGCTTACCTTATTCTTTTGTTAGTTGAGGCAGCTGAACTGGTGAAATCTTGAACAGTTGATGGCAGCGGAGAGTTCAATAAACTAGAATGTACAGTGGACCATCTACTTACGGAATTAATCCGTATTGGAATGGTGGCTGCAGGTCGAAAAGTCTGTAGGTCGAATCTCCATTGACCTACAATACATTGAAAACTGATTAATCCGTAACCGGCTGTTTTTGTTGCATTTTGTTTTTTTTCCTGGTCTGTAAGTTGATTCTCCGGCTACAAGTCGAACCTAAATTGTGTGGCCAGAGAAGTCTGTAACTTGAAAAATCTGTAAGCCGAGCCGTCTGTAAGTCGAGGATCCACTGTATTGGGAGAAGAGGGATTATATTTATTTAATAGGTTTCAATAGGAAAATTCGTGAATGGCAAAAATTGTGACCATCTTGCTCCTTTTTCTCAGGTTATAAACAATGTTGTATTCTGACAATGCAGTCTTCTCAGCTTCTCCTTTTCTCAGGAGGAGAAGGATGTGGTAAGAGTGTTTTGTTGCAGTCATATATTTTTCTGTATTTCAGCTGGAAGGAAATGTGGCTCCAGGATTATTGGCAGAGCCTTGATCAAGGTGAAGCTCTCACGGCTATGATTCACCACAATGAATCACAACAAGGGAAATTTTGGGATTACATGCACAAAGTCTTTCTGAAGAGAACTGGGCAAAACTGACCCTTTATCAATGAAATATTCTTTTTCATATTAAAAACAAGCTAGCCATTTTGGAACATCAATGAACAAATAAAATCTTAGTGAGCAAGATATGCACAACTGTCACCATAATAAAACTGAAGTTCTGGGACAACATGGAGATAATCCCTTACATGTTTTTCTGACTTTGGAGACTACCTTTTTCATGGGTTCAAAGAGAAGTTCAACTTCAGACCAGATTTTGTCATTGTTTCATTTCCTGGTGCTTCCAAAAGAGCAACATCACCTTGCAGCCTAAGAAAAAGATCTAGTGCATATGGTGATGTAAAAATGGTATTATTTTTACACATGTGCTGAATTACTTTGAACATGGGCTATTGTGCTTACAGTAAGCTATATTTCAGGGACTTTTCTTCCTTTCATAAATATTCTACATTAATCAGTGGAGTTTTCCAAAAACTTCATATAGAGTTTTTATCAGAGTGATACTGAGGAATTGTTTCAAGAAAGGAATTGTTACTATGAAAACGATAATTGGTTCTGAAACTGTTGACTGGATTGTTCTCTCTGGGAAGTACTATTTCCATAACAGATATGCATTTCCCTTTGCACAGATCACTCCGTGGCCTTCCTAAAACTGTAAATACATTAAAGTTCATTTTTTTCTGCCAAATTTGTCAGATGCTCTTATAATAGTATTATCAGATTATACTTTCTGCCAAAGTAAATCAACTCAGATTGTGTTGCAAAGTCAAAGATTTAGTAATATACGTTAAAGTATAAATACACAGCATTATATATAAGTATTATTCTGAACCCAAGTATTTATAGTCAGATAATATTTGGATTCATTTCTTTCCTCAGGTGGTTAAAATAAGTATGTATGCCTATGGGTGGGGACAGTATGGAAATATGTTTGGAGATGGTAAAGAATGGAGGAGGGAAGTATAGCCCTGCAGATTTTGGGCTACAACTCCTAATAGCCCCACTCAGCACACCTAGCAGTGAAAGGATGATGGGAACTATAGTTCAGCAACATCTGGAGGACCACAAGTTCTCCATCCTTGCAAGAACTGGGCAGCTATTTAGACAACATAATTCTGTTTGCAGGGCACTGAAGCATTTCATAGAAAAAATTGGTCCGTTTTAATTTTGTGACCCTGTGAACTGTTTCTTTGCTATGTCTACAGTTGGGGCAAGTATTGTTCATGCTTCTTTACAGATAAACATGTAATTGATCTTATATTTAGAGTAGGAACTGACAGCATGCAGCTCCCCTCCCCAACTGCTTTTACTGGACCTAGGCCCCCACAAACTCTTGTGCTGAAATCTGGCAACAAACTACATCAAATATCACTTTAATACATCCTTGTCATTCTTGTTTTAAGGCTTTGTGATTTGCCACCAAAATTTGAGGGTACAGTGGAGAGGGGGGGAATTGGCCCCTAGATCTGACAAGCTTGCTGTCCCTAATTTAAGGGCCACAACGGCTATGTGAAAGAAGAAGAACAAAGATTGGACAAATCAGGTTGAGGGGTGGGCATCAAAGTAGTGATGAGATGAGATCGAGTAGCACAAGAAAATGTTGAAGGAATGGAGGTTGTTCACTTTTGATTTAGTCTAGCCCAGCTGTAAACTTTCTTTTGCTGGATTTATTGGGTTAGAAATCAGCTGATGATTCAGTCCTAGTAAATCAAATGCTATATTCTTATGCTGGTAATAAAGGAGTTTGTTAATAAAGTGGTTGTGGTATTTGTCCATAAGCCCCAAAGAGTCTAGTTTGTTGAGTACTCATGACAGGCTATGATTGTGACAGTGCCTCATTTGTGGAACCCCCTTTCCATGATCATTCAGGGTGGCTCCATCCTTGTAGAATTTTGGGCCGGTGTCCAAATTGTACTATTCTATGCAAATACTGATTTTTAACACTGATTTTGAATTTTGCTTTTAGAGGGTTTTTTTTAATTTAAAATAATATGTGTATCTATTTCATTGTGCATTACATTAGGTGCCCTAGTTAAGTAGAAAAGCACTAAACAAATAATATTTTCAGTTGTACAGAGTTCTTTGTCAGGAAGGAATCCTGACTAATCTAAACTTGGAACAGTATGTCCCCTCAGAACAGAAACTAGCCTTTGATTATATGTGTTTGTGTATGCAAAAGACAGAGAAGAAAGGACAATAATAAATACTTGGTAAACAGTAATTCAGTCCACTTGGTAAATAATATCATCTTCAGTTTTAATTAATATTAACTGCAACTACATCCTTCTTGTTTTTATGTCATTTTGCACAACTCTGCTGATGAACTTTTGTAATGCAGTTTGTTCATTGTCATTTGCACTTTGATCGATTTGCATCAGTTCATTCTTATGCTTGTACAGAAGGCCAAGTCCAGGAGCACATCCAAATTGTGTACCTGATCCTTCAGAGGGAGTGTGACCCCCATCTAGACCCAGGTAGGCAGCCACCTAGTTAAGAATCATAGAATCACAGAGTTGAAAGAGACCACAGGGCCATCAAGTCCAACCCCCTGCCGTGCAAAACACTCCCAACAGATGGCCATCCAGCCTCTGCTTAAAAACTTCCAAAGAAGGAGACTCCATCACAATCCGGCAACATATTCCACTGTCAACCAGCTCTGACTGTCAGGAAGGTTTTCCTGAGATTCAGGTGGAATCTCTTTTCCTGTAGTTTGAAACCATTGCTCCTTGTCCTAGTGTCTGGAGACGTGGAAAACAAACCTGTCCCTTCGTTGACACAATGTCCCTTCAAATATTTAAACATGGCTAACATGTCCCCTCTTAACCTTCTTTTTGTAAGGCTAAACATTTCCAGCTCCCTAAGCTGCTCCTCATAGGACATGGCTTCCAGACCTTTGACCATTTTGGTCACCGTCCTCTGGACACGTTCAAGGTTGTCAACATCCTTCTTGAAGTTCCCGGAAGTGGACACAATACTCCAGGTGAGATGTGACCAAAGCAGAATAGAGTGGTACTATTATTTCCCTTGATCTAGACACTGTACCCCTATTGATGCAACCAAGAATTGCATTGGCTTTATTGGCATTCCCCATTGCACTGCTGACTCATGTTCAGTTTGTGGTCTACCAAGACTCCTAGGTACTGTTGTCTAGCCAGGTGTTTTCCATCCTATATCTGTGCAGTTCATTTTTTCTGCCTAGGTATAGAACCTTACATTTCTCCCTGTTGAAATTCATTTTGTTAGTTTTGGCCCAGGGCTCTAATCGTCAAGGTCATTTTGAATTTTAATCCTGTCCTCTGGGGAATTAGAAACCCCTCCCAATTTGGTATCAACTGCAAATTTAATCGGCATACTCTTGTAGGGAAATGATTCTGCTGTAGGCAGAACAGAGAGCATATTATTAATTAGTGTAGTATTTTTCCTTAGTCTATGTACTTTCCATATATCTATGTGCCATGTGGGCCTGTCCTTAAGGCAACAGGAAGAAGTGTTTTCTCATTTCCTCTTGTATTGTGTGGTGTAGGTTAGTAGGCGGGCATATGTATGCCTAGAAACTGTAACAGGTTGTAATCTGCTGGAGGCGTTTTATGGAGGCAATAAATCACTCTCGGACAGTGTGTGGAGAAAGGGGAGACGAAGGAATGCAGCAGAGAGAACAAAGAGCTGCAAAGGAGACGCTGAAAAGAGAAGCTAAGAGTCAGACTCAGTCTTTTCCTAGCTAACTAAAAAAGCTGCTGGAGGGAGGATGAGAGACAGGGAGACAGAGAGAAAGTCTTTTTCCCTGGCCATGCTGGATAGAACTAACAAAGAACTTAAGCAAAAGTTTTTCTTGTGTCCATGAGTGATTCTTTTACAGCACCCACACATTTCCCGAGCAGGTATCGGACATACTCTCTATTCCTTCATCCAAGTCATTGATAAAGATGTTGAATAACACAGGGCCTGGAACAGAACCCTGAGGCACCCCACTAGTTACCTCTCTCCAAGATGAAGAGAAGCCATTGGTGAGCACCCTTTGGGTTCGGTCAGTCAACCAATTACAAATCCACCAAACAGTAGCCCACATTTTAATAGCTTCCTTTCAAAGGCCTTACTGAAATCAAGATATGCTATATCCACAGCATTCCCTTCATCTATCAAACCTGTAACTCTATCAAAAAGAGATCAGATTAGTCTGGCATGACTTGTTTTTGAGAAACCTGTCCTGACTTTTAGTAATGACAGCATTGCTTTCTAAGTACTGTAATAACAAACTGTCTGTTTAATTATCTGCTCTAGAATTTCTTCCAGGAATTGATGTCAGACTGACTGGACAATAATTATTTGGCTCTTCTTTTTTTGGGGGGGGGGTCCCTTTTTGAAGATAGGGACATTTGCTCTCCTCCAGTCTGTGGGGACTTCTCCTGTTCTCCAAGAATTCTCAAATATTATTGCCAATGATTCTGAAATTACTTCTGCCAGTTCTTTTAATATCCTTGGATGTAATTCGTCTGGCCCTGGAGATATGAATTCATTTAGAGTAGCCAAGTATTCCTGTACTACAGGTACTTCTCTACCTATAATCTGTGCAGCATTTCTCTCACTACATCACCTGCTCTTTGCCCCTCAGGTTGAGCACTATTTTCCTTTTTGGAGAAAACTGAGCCAAAGAAGGTGTTTAGAAGTTTAGCCTTTTCCCTGTCCTCTGTTAGCAGTTAGCCATCTTCTCCACGCAGTGACCCTATCATTTCCTTGTTTTTCCTTTTGCTGTGGGCATAACTAAAAATCCCTTTTAATTGTTTTTAATCTGTCTGGCAAGCCTGAGTTCATTCAGCACTTTTTCTTTTCTTAACTTCCCCCTACATATATCGGCTATTTGCTTGTATTCCTCTTTGGTGTTTTCCCCATTTTTCCATTTCTTGTACATGTTTTTTTTAACACTTAGTTCAGTTGAAAGTTCTTTAGTCAACCATTCTGGTTTCTTTAGACATCTCCCATTTTTCCTTCTTATTGGAACAGTTTTAGATTGTGCCTTTAGTATCTCCCTTTTAATAAATTCCCATCCACCCTGAACTCCTCTTTCACTGTCTTTGTCCATGGAATTACAACCAGTAATTCCCTAAGTTTACTGAAATTGGCCTTCTTAAAGTCTAGAATGCATGTTTGGCTGCAGTTGGCTTCCCTTTCCCACTATATAACAAATTCCAAGAAAGCGTGGTCCCTCCCACCTAAAGATTCCACCACTTCAACCCCATTAACAAGGGTTAAGATCATCCCTCTTGGTTAAGATCAGATCTAAAATAGCTGATCCCCTTATGGGACTGGAAAAGGGCTATAAAGTATGTGCCCAATAAGGTTTTATTTTAATTTGATTTGTTCTTTTTGTTTCTTACAAAACTAAGAGGATTTAGAAACAATGGCCAAAATCCTGTTGCTTAACATAGTAAATGACACTAAAGTAGGGGGGATTTAATGAGTCCGTTCCTCCATAAATTCCACTGATTCAAATAGGCTTACTTTCACTCTGACTTACTGTACTGAATTAAGTTGCAGTTAAAGTAGGCTCATTTGAATCAATGGAACTTACAGAGGAGTTGACTCAATAAATCCCCATTGATTCAATGAGCCATCTCTGGTGTTATTTCCTGTGATAAGCAACAGGATTTTAGCCAGCTACTAACAAATATCTGCCTAGCACTCTGGTTCCGT